ACCAGCAATCATCACCCAGATAAGCAGAGATTAACACCAAGATTATCACCAGACATGCAATCAAGCAGTAAACAATACCCTAATCAAGGAACTATGGGGGGGGGGGAACACACCCACCAACACTGGCAGGGCATGCCACTGTATATAAACAGAGAGCAAACCCCACTCCATCCTAGCACTGAAGATGTTACCTAGCCAGGCAACGAAACGTTTGCAAGAAAACAGCCAAGCTCAGAGAACCCCGAGGACTCCACAGTTCAACCCTGAGCTACACATGTTTGCGTCTCTAGGTCTGAAAGGTTCCTCTTTGAGGAGGGCAGTTTAATACATAGACAGAGGGAGGGCGCAGATTTCTTCTAAAGCTGTATTAGATTTCATTTATGTCTTGTCTTTCAGTTAAGAAAACCACAACAAGCTGCATCATGACATGTGCAAAATAATTCATGCCACCAAAATAGACCAGTATTCTGTTATATGCATTCTCCCTTTCTCTCTCTCTCTCTTTCTCACACACACACACACACACTTCCTCCCTTGCGCTTCACAATTTCTATTTCTGCTGTTTTGCTTCCTTTCCTCCCATGCTGATCCCTCTCGGCGTGGCCTGTACCAAATAACCATGTGGGCCAATTACATAATATTGGGTGGGGAGCAGCCGGCCCACAGAGCGTTTAGCGCTGGCTTGTGGTCTCCCTTTCTGACACAGCCTAAAGAAGTTCCAAAAAGATCCCGTGGGAGATATTGAAAACGTTCCCAGCGGGAGCTTTTTCCCCAAGCACGAAGCTGGCCAGGAGGTAGGAGCATATTCTCTCTTCCCTGTGTGGTCCCCTAACTCTTTGCAGTTTGGGGGGAAAAAAAATCCACTGGGCTCCAGCTTGGTAACTCTGGTGGTTGTGGAGATTTTAACTGACAAAGGAGGAGGTGTGTGTTCCTCAGTTGCACTGGTGGGAGGTGCGGAGGGGTCTGGTTGTGTGACCACAGCTAAAGAGGTCTGTCTGTCTGTCTGTCTGTCTGTCTGTCTGTCTGTCTGTCTGTCTGATTTATATGCCATCTGACTCCCAATGACTCTAGGTGCCCTAGGTTGCACAGAAGGCAGCGCGGTCTGTCTGAAAATTTATTTATTTAGTTCGTTCGTTCGTTCGTTCGTTCAATGGATATGGCCATGCACCTCAGATATATAACTCTGGACAGCTAACAAGGAATAAAAACAGGTTAAAAATGTCATAAGGAGAAAGAACAATAAGAAATGAATATAGCAGTCAGGATAAAACCATCCAGTATGATCGGCATAACCATGATGTGGGCTCAGCCACACACTCAAGGCCCCAGGCTCAGTAACAGAACCAGGTCTTTAGGGCCTTACAGAGCAAATCTGGTCTCCATTAATTAGCAGATATACATGTAGTTGAACATTTGTGTGTTCGTGAGAGGCTCTGCTTGAATTAATTGTACGGGTGTCATAAGGGGTGGCATTTCCCACCACTGCACGAACATAATGTGTTCAGCTGGGGCAGTTGCTGCTGACAGTTCTGCTGAGCTCATGAAGGGTGAGGCTACTGATAGCCAGTAGCTGAGATGTCTCTTTACTACCCCCTGAAACCTGAACAGCAGGCCTGAAATGCTATAGCTGAACAGTCACAGGAGAAGGGTGCCATCATCTGCATTTGGGCTTCCCAAATGCATCCAGGGGGCACTGGGCAATTCAGAGGGCCAGATCCAGCAGAGGAATTCTTCTTTTTTCTGGCATTCGACCCCCCCCCAAGGAAAAATGGGTTCATGCCTTTTGTGCAATTTCCCATCTAGAAACAACCCAGGGAACCTGTTTCTCCCTTCAGTTTGTAAACTGTAAGTAAAGCTAGCATAGCCTTATGTGTTATGTTGTAACACCTTTCACGTACAATTATTGATTACATAAGACACTTCACTGTATCAAAACTACCCGCTGGATTTGCAAAACCTTGATGAACCTTTTTGAGACTTAGCATTTGTAATGTGAATCTAGACCCATCTGTATCATTTCTGTTTCAGCATAACTCTTGCAAATTCAGAAATTTCGTTCAAAAACTAGATTAGTGGTGCCAGTGAATATAACCAAGGAAGCGCAACCTTGCGTGATTTTGCTGGAAAAGGAAGCGCTGCGTTTTAGAAGTTGTACGAATGAATTCATAAAAACCTCTCTCTCCCCAGGTTATGTATGGGACATTGGTGGCTGTTCTAGTCCTACGTTCTGTATATATAGTGTTATGGTAAGTAATGAGTTAACTGTGAGTTATCTGGCTGCCCTTGCATCTAATCCAGAGGTTTGTATTGCAGAGGGAGAAATTAGAATTACTGATTTTCTGATGATCCTCAACCTCCTGTGGCTCCACTGCCTTTGATTTCACTCTGTTGATTTGGAAACCAGGAAAAGTACAGGTGGTCCCCGGGTTAAGAATGCCCAGTTTAAGGACAACCCATAATTAAGAATGGAGCCTCTTGTAGCAAAATTCAAGTTAAACACACAGTGGTTCGAGTTCATTACACAATACTACTTATACAGTATTATACTATAATACTGTTCTGGCTAGAGCCTAGAGCCCCACTGTTTGTGTATCAGTGGCACTTTCTCGGTGGTTTGTAAAATATTGTGATCCCAGCTGCAGATTACCATCGGAGGCAATTTTGCTATACCCTGTCACAGCGTGGGAAGCTGCCAGTGAACTTCTCTGTGTCTCTCTCACCAGTTTACAAGGGAATCTGGGTTGCTGTATATTTGGGCCTCTTAGGCACCAAATAATGATGCTTGCACTCTTCTCCCAGCCTGTGCACAATTACACTCACGTAAATCCCATAACGACTCTTGAATTACTCTTGCTCTCAAGTAAGCATATTTGCAGTAAGCAGAGGAGAAGCACACAGATGAGCTTCTTAACGTTCCAGCGCTGTAGTGAGAGTGAGTGAAATGAAGACTAACAGATCTCAGAAGTTTGCTAAATAAAAGCACAGAAGAAAACATTCAGACCAAGGGCAGAGTCAGGGCTGGTTTTCCATGAGAAAGCTAATTTGGGTTTGGAGCATTGATCCCGTGCCTCCTCAAAAATGCTTTCTCTGTTCTTGAAACCAAATACATGTTTAAGTAGAGATCAGGGTCGGGCCACTTAGTCCTTGGAAAGGGAGACCACCAGGAAAGAGCTTGACCCAAGGGTGTCTGTATCTTTTCTGCCTGCATGTGTACAGCTTTTTGCTTGAGGTTGGCTGTCCTGCATCTCTGTAGCAGAACATTGCTTGTGGAGCAATATAGCACCCCCCAGTCTCTCTGGGGTTCCCGGAATGGCTCCTGTCCAATCTGCCATGTAGAATACAAGTAAGAAATCCTCCCAGTGAAGACCTGCCAAAAAATAGCAGAATAACATGGAGTCAGAGGTCGCTTTGAGAGACTTAAGCTTGTTCTCCTTCTCTCTAGGGTTTACCCCTGGCTCAAAGGGCTGGGATATACATCCCTGACTGTTTTTTTGCTGGGCTTCTTCCTTTGGAATGTAGACAATATTTTCTGCGACAAATTACGGTAGGTGAATTTCAGGGGCGGGATGCTTTTCTGTCACCCTCTGGCTTGTAGAGTTCTGCATGTTTCCTTCTGCCCATTTGCAGTTCTCCAAAAGGAAAAAACGCACAGAAAATTTGCTCTTGTGGCTGGATGTAGCTAGATTTGGGGACGAGGTGGCAATTCTCACACTATGGATTTTGCTCTCTGGTTTGTTTTGATTACCCCTTACCTGGACTCCTGTAATGCTCTCTATGTAGGGCTGCCCTTGAAGATGACCCTGAAGGGACAAAATGCAGCAGCTGGAGCATTGGCGAGACAATCCGGCTAGTGCAGAATAGCACCAAGCTTCAATGCCCTGCGCTAGTTGTCAGTGGGCTTCTGGGCCCCATTCACAGTGTTAGTGACCATTAATCAGGACCATAAAAGCCCTGGATTTATCAGGCACTGCCTTGACAGAATGGAATCTGCCCACCTGGTAGGGACATCCAGAAAAAGCCTGTTGAGAGTCCCCCTCCTCATGAGGTTCAAGGGGCATGGGCTAGATGGCCACCTTCTTGATGGAAGCCTGCTCCCTTTGGATCCATCTTCCTGCAGGGATCTGCATAGCTCCTACTCCTCTGTCTGGATTCAGAAGATACAAAAGGAATGTCCATCTGTTCTTGTTCTGCAATATTTTGGAAATGTCTATTTCCGTTTCCAGGCTCAGAGAACTCCCTGCCCTGCCCTGCCCTGCCCTGCCCTGCCCCCCTCCCTCCGTCCCTCCCTCCATTCATTTTGTATAGTGGCCCATTTCAACAAGTGACTCTGAGCGGCGAACAATATGAAGTGAAAATAAAAACAATTAACCCATAAAAATACAAAAAATGCGTAGCAGCCAAGGAAATCATCACAATCAGCAAAACTAATACAGCCAGGAAATGGGTCCATTCACACGCTCAGGGCCCCAGGCTCAGGCACAGAACCAGGACTTTAGGGGGGCCGGTTGGGGGCCACCCTGTTCTCCGGAGGGAGAATATTCTGTGGGGCGCTACAGCAGAAAAGGCATGCCAACCAGTGTTCCTCAGCCAACAGGACCTGAACCGTGCCCATCCTGCCGGACCAGATTGGATGAATAGAAACAACTGAGGAGAGATGGTCCCCCAAGTAACCCAGTCCCAAGCCGTGAGGGTTTTAAAGGTGACAACCAGCATCTTGAACTGCACTCAGAAGCACATTGGCAACCAGTACAGCTCATGAAATAGTAGTGTTAACATGCCGAATAACCGGCACCATTGACTATTCATGCTACTGCATTCTGCACCAGTTGAAGCTTCCAAATGCTCTTCAAGGGCAGCCCCACGTAGAGCGCATTGCAGTAGTCCAGACAGGAGGTCACAAGGGCATGAGTGACAGTGAGCAGGGCCTCCCAGTCCAGGAACGGGTGCAACTAACACACAACCCAAAGGTTTTCAAAGGCCCTCCTAGCCACGTCTGCCACCTGCTCTTCGAGTAGAAGCATGAGTCCAGGAGGACCCCCAAATTTGTGCACCAGGTCTATCTGAGGCAGTGCCACCCCATCCAGAACCAAAGATGGAAAATTCCAAGCACCAGAAAGTCCAAACACCCAAAGCCACTCAGTCTTGTTTGGGTTGAGCTGAAGCCTGTTGTGCCCCATCCAGGTGCCCACAGCCTCCAGACACTGGGGCAGGACACCCACAGCATCATTCAGGCAGCCTGGGGTGGAGATATAAAGCTGGGTGTCATCAGCATACTGGTGATATGTCACCCCAAGCCATCGGGTGACCTCACCCAGCAGCCTCATGTAAATGTTAAGCAGGATGGGAGAGAGAACTGAGCCCTGCAGCACCCCACAAAACAGGGGCCCCGGCTGGAGTTCTCCCCTCCTCTCAACGCTCTGAAATTATCCTGAAATATAAATGAAGTCTGAGTTTTTCTCTTTGCCCCAATCACAACATTTTGGAGCATGGTTCCCAGCAGGTCACTCCAAGTCATCTCTCCACATTCATTGCCCAGTTCAGAGTTTGCTCAACCTGATCATCTTGATTGGCCAATTACAACACAGGTGACTTAGCCTTCCCCAACAGGGTGCCCTCTATTTTTCCCATATCCAACACATCTGGAAGTTTCCTGCCAGGGAAGGATGGCTGAATGAAACAAACTATATCCAACAGCAGCGAAAAAGGGAGCTTTCCTCATCCCTGTTGCTGCCTCCTCTAGGGCTTGTTCAGATTCGGCAGGAGACATCTTTCATTATCTTTTTGATCATCAGCAGGGGATGAACTGCCCTGTGGCTGAGAATAGTTCCCTGCACGTCAACAGACTTGCAGTTCTGGAAATAAGGAGTCTTATAGACTCCCTGGAAGCCTGTTGCCCTCAGAGACATAACACCTGGCCGTTTGACAGCTTTACCGCATCCTCCTCTTGAAAGCATATTTGTTTTCCCCAGAATGGGCAGCTTCTTAAAGCTTCTCGCCTCTTGGTCACCTCAGTCAGCTGTCAGTGTAAGAACTGAAAATACTGCTGCTGCAAATTGTCAGACAAACCAGAGTTAGCGATGATGTTCCTTGGTCTTTGTAGGAGCTCAGGAGGCTGGAAAGAAGAATTGTGTGAGGAGGGTTTGGGAAGACAATGTGTGATCTGGTTGTTGTGTCTCTCCACAGGGGGTTGCGTGAGAGGCTGCCTCCGCTCGTGGGTGTCGTAACACAGTTTCATGCTTGGTGGCACATTTTCACAGGGCTCGGCTCCTACCTTCATATCTTGTTCAGGTGTGGCCTCTTTCCTTGCCCATGGATGTGGGGTGGGGAAGTTCCTGCTCGACAGTACATTGTGTAAATCACTTGTCTTCCAAAAGATGCTATTTTGATAAAGGGTTGGCTCCTGTTGATGATCTGCAACTACATCTGGGGCTGATTTGGGACAGTTTTGTTTTTTTCCCCACTTTGAGGAAGAGTAGCAGTGGTGGCGAGTAAATGGCAGGATGGGAGGAGTGAGCAACAGTCTGGATTCAGTCCAGATTATTGGGATGCCAAGAAGTAGATTGAGCGGCTGCAGCTCCTTCTCTTTGGTGCTCTTCCCAAGAGTTTACAGTCTACTGGGTACGTAGGTTCTTCCAGATTAGGGCACTGGTCTGTTTTGTCCATCGTGTCCCAATTTGAGCCATTTCCAGTTGTGTGGCTAATCCCAGAATTCTCAGCAGTGACCATGCTGGCTGGGGAATCCTGGGAGTTGGTCCACACATTTGGAAATCGCCCCGGTTGAGTTACAGTACATGGATCTGGCATTTTAACCGCTGAGACTGTTCCAAGGTCCTGAGCCCAGGACTGTTTCCCAGCCTTACTGGGCGACGCGGGAAATGAACCCCAATGGCCTGCATGACAGCAGATATCCCATCGGAGACGCTAGCCTCCCTAACGCTTCATTTGGCGACCTCCTGCTCTAGTAGCCTTGGGAATAAAAGTGCCATAGCTAACCCACCTGTCCCAGAGGTGGAGCTGAGTTCCACAGGGGTCCGGACAGTGGGGTTGCAGGCTATTTGGCTTGAGTTGATTTATCCAAATGCTGCTTTTAATCTTCTTTTCTCCCCTCTCTCCCCTGGTTCTAGTTTATATTCCCGGACACTTTACCTGAAATACAGGCCAAAGGTCAAGGTAAGCTGTTAGGATTCTTGTCCAGCAGAACTGTTTTTTTCTTTTCTTTCTTTTCTTTTTTTAATAGCTAAGGTTTGTTAGACCAAACCTGCAATAGTGGATAGTGATTTTTTTTCTTTTTTACTTTTTTTATTGTAGAAAAAAACAAAAGATACGGCATACATAAAATCTGCAGAGTCAATATAACATTGAAGAGAAGATATAAGGGCGCACTGCATCCTGAAATCTATTTTATTTTACTGCATTCAAAGATTTATAACATTTAATGCTTGCATTTGCTATTCCAAAGCAGAATAAATAGTGTCTGTTTTTCCCCTAAGAATTTGTTGAGTTGTAATTTTATCATAAAGCCCCTCAGCTTAAAGACCTCTTAGAAACTGAGGGAGCTGTAGGCTTCTAGCATTGAGCTAACATGTAGATCCCAACTATGTAGTTTGATTTATTAGTAGTTCCAAATCGGATTCATCCACCAGTTTGTTAAGGCAGCCCAACAAAATACCTCTAAGGTTTTGAGGCACTAAGTAATGAGTTGTTTAACTGATGAAAATTTGAAGTATTTCCCCAGTGGTGGATATACCTGTATTTTATGTAAGAAATGTAAGGCCGCATTTCACTGGAAATTTTGAATTTGACATACATTGATGCATTTTGTATGACACAACTGTCACTGTTTCCCCCAATGCACATATATTTGGTGAACAATGACACTCAGCAGGTGTTCTTGCAGCATGAAGGTAACAAAACATCTGCTGTGCAAATTTCTCTGTCTTGTTTGATTGATTTATATTCCTGGCATGTTTTGAATAACGTATTATCAAGGGGAACTGTTAATATGTAAGACACAGACCTTATTTTGTTTGGTGGAAGCACAGCAATGCTTTATTATTTCAAACAGGCTGAGAATAAAAATAAATACATAAAGATAAATCCACACAGCAGATGTTTTATTCATTAGCTGGATACCTCGCCTTTCCTTCAGGAGCAAAAGGCAGCATACACAGCCTACTTTTCTCCCAGTTTTTTTTTTTCTTTCAACAACTACCAACAAAGTACATTAAACTGAGAAATCCTCACCCACTGAGCTTCCATGGCTGAGGATGGACTAGAATTTGGTTCTCCCTGTTCCTAGTCCAACCTCTTAACCACTATATCACCCTGGTTGATTTTGTGTTCTTCGTATTGCTAAGACACTCTTTTTGGATACTGTGCCAAGCTCTCCAGCTGTTCAGGGAGTTCTATCTGCAGTTTTCACATATAGCTGTAGTAAAAGGCATTCAGTTGTGGATTTCCCCAAAGCATCTGATCAGTCATGGTGGAAAGTAGAATTCAGAACAAGGTGACCTTTGGCCCAATCAACCCAGGTTACTCTTGGTTCCCTCTGCCCTGTGCTCCCATAAGAACCATCCTTCCAATTCAAGTGCATCCTTTATGTACAGAGTTCCCCAGAAGATATCCTATGTCTTCTACAGTTAAAAAGAAAGGCAGCAGGCAATGGAACAAGGCCTTCTATCCACCTGAAAGACAGGAGAAGTCCTTTAGGATAGAACAAGTCAGGTTGGGTTGGAGGCATGTTTCATCTGATGAGTTCCATCTTCCTTCACGCCAATGGCAATTTTTTTTTTTTTTGGTGAAGGCTCTGCTTTTTTTCTGAAGTTTTTTTGGTGAATCAACTGAGAGAGGTCAGTCACAAATCTTCACCTTTGATCAATTGGGCACTAAACCATAAGTTTTAAAAAGTTATCTTCCAAGAGACATTTCTCTTGTTCCTTTCCCAGAAGGAATCGCCTCTTCTGTGTTTTATAATAGATAGATCCATCATTATTGTCTTAAGACCTGGAGCGTGTTCATGGTGTGTTTGTTCTTTTAATATGCATACTTGATGGTCAGACAATTTAGTAGCAGCTGTACCATGACTCCAACTTCCAAAAACTTGGGAATGACTTAAAGCGTTGATGCAAACAGAAATACAAGATATAATCTTCCTGGTCTTCCCAAAGTTTCCAGCATTTCCCTTGAAATTTAAGTAACAGGTTGCCTTTTACTTTACTGAAACATTTTTGTTTCCTTAGAGTAGAATTTTGCCCTTTCTCTTAGTTCACTCCCTGCCTTTCAGACCATTTCTCGAGTCTGACAGGATCATTCAGGATTTTATGTCTATTGGCCAGAAATCTAGTCCAACACTGTGCTCTCTTTCACTTGATCAGCATTCCCCCCTTCAGGAGTGTTAATTTTATCAACACAGTTTGTATTTATTTTATTTAAAGAACGTGTATGGCCACCCCACTCAAACATCACGACTCTAAGAATCTAGTTAGTTAATTCTTTAAAACTAAAGAACAATTTGAATTAAAAACCAGACAGTCGTTGATAGGTGCCCTGACTCACGTTCAGTATTACACCTAGCTTGGTTGTAAAATGTATACCTAAGAAAAATCGTCCAGCCTCTTCAGAAGGTCCATAATGGAGCCCCTGTTTTGAATACTGATGGAGACCTCTGACATTTCCAAAAGGGCCTCCAGATCATTATCCTAAAACCCCAGGAAGTGTACCCACAATTGAACTAGATGGGCTTGATTCATTATAAATTCATTTATATGTCTTCTTTAACATAATAATATATTAGAGAGGAAAACCCTGAAAACAAATTTCAGGAACAGCTCACTAAAAGTGACTAACCACACCTTGGAAGAACAAGAACAGGTTCAGGCAGAGTTAGATGCCTCCTAAGGCTAGCAGAGAGATTGCTTCAGTTTCTCCCACTGAAATTGAAGCAACATAAGTGCTTACTTACATAGTAAATATGCAAATCCTGAAAAAAATAGGCGAGACCACTCCTGTAGGAATCTTCGCAAATGGCCTTTTATTTTTTAATGAGTAATATGGGCACGCTCAGTGCTACTGTGATGAAAACTGCCAAGGTTTTGTTAAATGTTCACAAAGTGTACCAGTTTTGTGGGGCCTCTTCACCTCTTCCTTGTATAAGGAGCTCCTGAATCAATGCATTGACTGATCTCTTCATCTAGGGTGCTATTAAAGAATCACAACAGGATTCATCCAGAGGCAGGTTTTGAATCATTTGTGACTAAAGCTTCTCTAAGTGGGTGTAGTATCAGTGCATGATAAATCAGCATCTTGTTGGATCTCATTTTGTTTTGAGAATGTGTACTCCACTTGACTGAATTACAATATCCTCAAAGCTTAGAGCAGATCACAGAAATGTAAAGCAAACACACATCCCTTCCCAAACTCTGCAGCAAATGAAGACACTTCCAGCTTCTCTGACTGATGACATCTGGTGGGCTCTTCCACAGCATAACAGTCCTCCCCGAGTCTTAGTGTTTGGCTTGTGGCAGCAAACCTGGACAGGCTTCTCTTTGCTTCTGGTGCCTAGGAATTTAGGATCATCATAATACTGTAGCAGAAAGAGCATTTCACAGAAATTCTAGGCTTGGCTGGCTTCAAAAGAGGGTTGGAATCATGGGGATCAATGGCTCTTAGTCTTGATAGCATGGGACTGCCTCTGAAGGCCATCTGCTGGGAGACTAGTGGGCTTCCTTGCGGTTGGCTGGCCGTTGGGAGAACAGACTGCTGGACTAGATGGGCCAGGGGTCCAATCCAGCAAGGCACTGCTTATATTCTTATGCTTCTGTTGTTACATCTTTCATTTTCTGGGGTATGTTGTTAATTATTGGAGCCATGACTTCTACAAGGTGATAAAGGGTTATTCTTCCTCCTCCTTTTTTCCCCTCTGTAGACTGAGTATTTAACAAAAGGAAGAGCCTTTCTAATCCAAACATGCAATGGCTCTAGTAAACATTCAGAAAGCTTGAAATACTTTTTCCTAATCACAGCTTGGGTTATGGACATAAGAGAATTATCTCTTTGCTATGAAATGTTTTATCCATTGACTTCTGGAGAGTTTGTAAAGAAAAGTTGGGCCTTTTTCTCTGATCAACTGGCACCCCTTTGTATTAGTTTCTCTTTTCTAGGATAAAAACATAACATGCATAAAGCATTAGAGATAAGTAATTACTGTAAATCACCAATAACCAGAGGAGGTTCTCCAGGGAGGTAAGTTTATTTCCTTTTTGTCTTAACCCAGCAGCCTAAGAAACCCTTTTTCCTTCCTTTCTATAGTTTCTCTTTGGGATTTGGCCCGTTCTCTTAGTAGAATCAACGAAGAAGCCGTAAGAAGCACACTAGCCAAATGGGAATGGCCACCAGCCTTGAAGACCTTTGACTGCCACATTGGAAGTTCTTGGCACTGCAAAGTGATTTTTTTTCTTTCTGTCTCTACTCCTGGAACAATGGAGAATCACAAAGGATCAAGCACCGCTGTGTCTTCAGAGGCCATGATTGGAGGTTTTCCTTGTGTTTGCAATGTTAAAGCCATATCACCACATTTATGTGTTTGAAAGCTGGTGATCCTGGTCTGGTGTGATGTGCCAGGCACAGGCAACAGCTGTGCTTTTTTCTCCAGAGTCATTCCTGAGGTTTTCCTTTGACTGATTAGACATCCAATCCATGGTTGGTACCAAATACTTCCAGCTGGATCATGAAACACGCTGGAGCCAAAAGAAGACAAATGCTCCACTGGATATTCTAAGAGACTCCGTATTTCTCGCCTCATTATTGGTGTCTTGTAATGGGTTAGGGAGAATGATAGCCTGTCAATTTTTCAATATCAGCTTCTTTTGCGAATCCTTCCCAAACCTGTGCCTTCCAAATGTGTTGAGTTAAGGGGAGGTTGTTAGCCAACACTTCCAGGGAGCGTCAGACTGGGCAAGATTGCTTTAATGAAGCCCCTCTTCCAGAGTGGTGCTCTTCAGATGCTCTGGGCCTTCAGCTCCCAAATTCTCAGCCAGCCTAACCAAGAGGCTTGCTGGCAGGGAATTCTAGAAGTTGGGGTCCCAACAGGAAGTTCCCCAGATTGGGAAAGCCTAGCTCTAAATGGAGGTAAGATGGAAGTGTTCTTTTAACTCTGTGTGTGTGTGTGCCATTCCCAGTGAAGAATGTTGGCTTCAAATTATTTTCCTCCAGGGAACTTCCAAGGGAGTTTTGAAATATGTTGATCAGTCTGATAGCAGAAATTGCCTTCTTAGTTTCCTGAGACACTAGTAAAACAGTATTAGCTGGTGTAATGTGACTCAAGGACCCTTCAAACTATGGACAGAGCTGCTGAGAGACACTCCCCAATCTTTCTGTTCTTTGAAAGATTTGGGACTGATGTGGAAGCATAATGTTATTTACATCCACTCTTGCTAGGTATTGTTGTACGTAGGTCAGAGGGAGAAGCCTACTGAATACGCAACTTTGAGATGTAAAATTTCCATTCCTAAACAAATGTAATCAAGAACCAATGCTTTTTTTGTTTTTAATACATGTGACTGCCAGACACCCTGTATTTCAGATGTGTAGAATAAATATCAGCCTATCCTTGGCCACTGATTGTTGAATCACACAAAGTTGTGAAGATATCTCTGCCTCTTTGGGCACAATGGAAGACAGGCAGGAGAAAAGATAAAGTAATTTAATTCGTTAAAGATAAATCAAATTAAACCAGGTTTTGTTCTACACAAAACAAGCCAAATGTGATGATCTGATCATTCTCTGGTTGCCCCTTCTAATGTATTTTTTAGAAATACATCAGAAACATAAGAGAATCTTGCAAACCTTTGCATTTAAAAAGCCAAGTGACATATTTGCCTCTGATTCAGGATTGATCTGGCTGATTCCTCTTCCTTGTCCTCCTCAGTCTTCGATCTCAACTCTGTGGTTACAGCTAAACCTTCTTACTGCTTCAGAGCACAATTTCAATTTATATACAGTGCTGATGCCCTGTGCGTCCAAATCCCTGAAAGAAAAATGGCCTGATTTATTCTGAATTAGGGCATCCTGATTGGCGATTAATAACATAACCATATAACCTTGGCCACTGCAGATTTTTATTTGTCCCGATTCATGCAACCATCTTATCTGTCCCAATTCATGTAGCCGCTTCACATGCTGGCTGGGGAATTCTGGGAGTTGAAATCCACACATCTTCAAGTGGCCAAGGTTGAGAAACACTCACCTAGTGTCAGGCCTCACTTCTGGACATTTCATGAAAAAAGAGGCCTCATTTCTCCACTCAATGCAACTGTCAGAAATTGCAGCACTCCGGCACAGATCCTTGTCCAACTACTTAATATAGGAACTGCCGAGGGTGGGCAGGGTGTGTCTTTCAGGTGGATTATCCCATAAATCCATGTGGTGAAATGGATGTACTACTCAGATGGTGAAACAGTAATGAAAATGGCTACTGTCAATGATTTCTCACCATATTTGAATGTTGAAATGTTCACACCATTGTCTTGGTTAAGTAAACAAGAAGCTCTGCCCTGTGTGCAATTTCTGAGAGCTGCATTAAGTGAAGAGACGTGTTTACCTGATGTTACCTAGATTGAACGAAACAGTACAACTGCATTGTGAAATTTATCATTTTCCATGTAAATGGAAGGACATAGTATTATGCACATGTCCCACCGAGGCTTAGAATGCATTATCCACAACTTGCAGTCCGCAAGTTATATCCCATTCGCCTTTCCAGCTTGGGTGCCTTCTAAATGGGGGGACTTCAACTCCCACAATTCCATAGCCAACACGGCCATTGCTGGGGAATTGAAGTTCCCAGTTCTGGAGGGTTAGGTGCTGGGTTGACCACTGGCAAAACCCTGTACTGGACATCTAGCTTAGTAGTGTGCACAGAAATGCGAGAGAGGCAGAGGCAGAGAAACCCATGCCTCCAACATAAGTCTGTATTGGGGAAAACTTTCCCCCTATGCACGGGGACTAGAATTGCACTGGGTTCGCAGTTACTATAGTTATTATTCATTACACGTATTATGGTTGCCCACTCCAACAGACTCTTAGTGATACTAAATAGGGCTAGGAACAGCCTGAAAGTAAGGTGAAGGGTGGTGGAGAACAGCAGTATTGTAGCAATAGGTGGAGCGGTGCTTCTCAACCTTGGCAACCTGAAGATGTGTGGACTTCACAAGCTTCAGAAGCACTGAGACGGAGGCATCTTGAGCAACCTATGTTGGCTCGTCCCCTCACTCCCAGCCAACCTGCTGTGCCCAGGTACAGCAAAGGAGGTTCCATCCCTAAGTCACCTGCCCGTCAGGTTCACCTCTCTAAGATGGGAGAGGGTACTGTTTTCCTTTTCATCTTTGGAGGAGAACCTTGTATGCATTTTCCAGTTTCTGCTTTTCGGTCTGAGTCTGAGCCAGCCTTTTCCTAGAGACACACTCAGAATTCTTCCCAGGTAGACTTCCTTGAAGGCAGACAGTCCTCAAAGAAGAGGGGCCTTGTTTAAGGGTATAAAGCAGTGTTTCTCAACCTTGGCCGCTTTAAAAGGCCTGGACTTCAACTCCCAGAATTCCCCAG